AAAAAAAAAAAAAAAAAAAATTTAATTTAAAAAGCACAAACCCTTATCATTCTAAAGAAACATGTATAGTGTTTATAGTTGCTTTTTGGATCACCTTTCGCTCGAATTTGTTAGACCTGGTATTATAGTGAAATTCAAAGGGACCCAGTTTATTCTTCCTGAGTCCAAAGTGCTTTCAAACAAAGGCACATGACCTACATATACTTGCACTCTTATTTGCAAGTGACAGAAAATCAGGGCAGTTTCCCAAAGCAAAATGGGGAAGTAGATGCTAGACAGAAAAGAATAAGACATATTGACTTCAATACCAATGAAAACAAGGTGGGGGAGGGGGGTGGTAAGGAAAGAAAAAAAGAAAAGGAGGGAAGGGAAGAGAACATAGAAGAGAGGAATTGAGGGAGAGCTAATCTGGGGTTTTAAGACTCCCTGCATGTCTCAGACGCTGTGCATTTATAATCCCTTCACTCCTCTTATGAAAGCAGTTATCCTAGGTAACTACCACTGCTCTCTTGGCTGTCAACGTGAGTAATGTTTTGCTTCCTCCTAACAGTTGCTATCACATCAACATGAGTGTGCGTGTGTTTGGTGAATTTGTTTTTCGCCTCTCTCCCCAGCATATTGGTTGGCATAGCCTTCCCTCCAGCAGCTGGGAAGAGCAGATTCAGGGGATGTGCAGTTAATGCAATTTTTTTAACTTATTTTAACTGAGAAACAAATCCAACTCTATTCACTATTATTTAAGTATACTAGGAGTTCTTTTTAGTTCAAAGCAAATACTTTGAAGTTACGTATTCCCAAACTCTGTATTTAGTAGGAAGTTTTAATCATTGGCGAGTCTTCATGACCACCCATGTAGGAACCCTCTGAATGTGGAAATTTTTTTTTAGTTTATTGCCATTAAAAAATACAAATTTTCTCTGAATAACTGTAAAACATCAAACCGAAATTTTAAAAATTCTTTTATTTTACAGCCATATTACCTCAAAGAAGTAGTTCCCAGAATCAAGTTCAAGTTTTTTTCTTATTTTTTATCCCGCAGGGTCATCCATCACTTGTGAAAGCTCTGTCCTGCCTATATGAAAAGCTTTATCAAAATCAAATCGATCCAAATAAAGAAATCCTTGTGACAGTAGGAGCATATGGATCTCTTTTTAGTGCCATTCAAGCCTTAATAGATGAGGGAGATGAAGTAAGTGTATTAACATTATTCTAATACCTATATTAATAATTATCATTTGTCCCACCTTTGAATCTTTTACTTATTTTACATTGTTTTCTCTTATTTTTAATTATTTTTGAAGTCTAATGCCTATACAGTAAAGTTGGCAAATCTTAAATGGATAGCTGAATTAATTTCTATGTAACTATAAGAGATAGTCTAATGAAGAGATAGTACATTTCCAGCACCCCAGAAGGCTCCTTTGTGCCCCTTCCTAGTCTATATTCTCCCAGAGGTAACTGGTCTTCTGTCTTCTACCATCATAATTCGTTTTGACTGCTTTTTTACTTCATATAAATAGAATTATACCATATGTACTCTTGGGTCTGACTTCCTTCGTTTATCGTTATGTCTGTTGGACTCATCCATTTTGTTGCATGTAGTTTAATCTTCTTATTTTTATAGCCTATTTAAAAATAAATAGAAAGAGAAGTGGCTAGCACTAAGGGGAAAAAGAATCTTTTGTTTTCATTGCTAAAATAACCTTTAACCTGAACTCAATCAACAATTATTTGATTAATGCCTTTTTATGCCCAGTATTGTGTTAGCAGTACAGTGTGAGGATATATAACATAACAAGAAGAATAAACGATTTTTGCATTTTAGTCCTATGATATCAGACCCACTTGGGCACCTGCCTCAGTCATCTCTACCCCTACTTCTCCGTTATCATTCTAATATACCCACTTTAGTATTTTTTGACCTCTTTCATTTATTCAGAAATTACTGAGCATCACCTGTATGTTAGGCCCTGTTAGAGAGATTTTTAACACATTGACTGCCATACTAGAAAAAAAATGTTTTCCCTTGGGACCACAGTGTATTATTACAAAAATAGAATAAAAGCTTCAAAAACAAAATGATCTTTTAATTTAATGCAAGACAAAATTGATTGACTTCTATTCATTTAATCCACATTTTAAGAATTAATTTGTCAACATTAATTGTAACAATAAGAATATCAACAAGCTTAAGATTTTCATGAACCAACCGCAGGGTTTTGCCCAAGTTTTACTTTGCAAGGCCTTGGGCTCAAAACTAGCTTGAGTTAAATGTAACTCACATGGCAGTTAATGTGTTAAAAGATGGTTTCTATGCAGAAAGAGTTCCCTGTCCAATAAAGGAGATAGATTTCCGAACAGAATAAGAGGAATGTTGTATGTTAGTCAGCAGTGGGGGATGTATAATTTATGGTGGTGACGAAAGGAGGGGGTGATCAACTCTGCTAATGTGGGTCTGGAAAGCTCCAGAGAGGTGTTGCTTCAGCTGGGTCTATAGAATGAATATTTATATATACACTGTTAACTTTCTTTGAACTCTCATAACCCTTTATCATACCACTTTTATAAAAGTTACCACTCTCTACTTTGTGTTATGTCATTCTTTTACATCTCTAATTCCCTCTACTATGCCAGACAATAAACTATTTAAGGAAATCTGTTAAGGAAGTACAGTCACACTTTGATGTACATAATCTCCTTTCAGCCTATAATGTAGAGCAAAGTTTTGTCTCACACTTTGGTGTTGTTAATCCTTTGTTGTTTCCGCCTCTGCGCTCTGTTGGACTATCTTTCCTTTCTTCTTTCTTCCCTCATCACCTTATCTAATATTTTGAAACTGCACACATGTCACTTTCTATCCTACTGGCCCATTTTATTTTTTTTATAGCATTTGTTACTATCTGAAATTATCTAATTTCCTTACTTGTTTTCCCATTCATTATAAGTCTCTTCCAGTAGGATGTAAGTTCCAGGAGAACTTGTTTATTGCTGTACTGCCAGCACCTAAAATAGTGAGGGCTCAATAAATACTCTTCAAAAAAAAAAAAACAGAGGAATTATTCCCATGATAAAAATAAAGAAATTAAGGCAAAGCATATCAGATATATTCTTTCCACTTTCCTGCCCATCTCCCCAGTTTATTTTCCTTTATTGAGATCTCACTTTGTACTGGGCACTATATTTCTTCCCACTAGGGTTACAAAGATGGGTCATCTTAGTCCTTGAGAACTTCACAGCTGATCGAAGACCTTATAGTCCACGTGGGGGAAAGATCTGCTCTTTGTTCATTTCCTTACCCTCCACATGTCACATTGTCCTTAGTAGGCGCTCAGTTTGAGTTGAAGGACTAGTACAAACAAATGGGCTTTTAGAGTGTATAACTCCAATGAGAAAAGCCTTGAACAAGTATTTACATCCTAAAAAATACAAACAGTAAAAAGTACACATTTAGAACAATAATTGGGTGCCATAAATTTAACCAACAAAAAGTGAAATGAGACAACTAAATGTAGACTTGTAAAATTTTAAGTTCTTATCAGATTTTTCAAAAGCAATTTGGCTATATATATATACATATATTCATATATATAAAACCATAAAAATGTTTATACCCTTTAATCTAGAGATGGTAATCAAGTGAATTTATTCATCAAACTATTTAAAAATAAAGAAACTACACCTTCACAAATAAACATAGCACTGTTATTTATATAAGCAAAAGATAAGAAAATTATTCTAGAAATCAAGAGACTCTCATATAGCCATTAAAATAATAAATATAAAAACTGTAATAGCATGAGATTTTCATGAAATATTACTAGGTTCTAAAAGGTAGAAAGAATAATTGGATGTATATGATGGTTATAAATTATGTTTTCAAACTCTCCTTATAAAAACACAAAGGGTCAGGGGAGGTTGATCAGGCTGGCAGATTAGGTGTTGGGGGTGGGATAACGACCAGCTATCCCTGGTCGGATGGGCCCAGTGACCTAAAAGCCCTACCAGGAGTGACTGAGAGAGAGCATGGAGAGACAAAGGGACGAGAGTATATTCAAGGGGCTAGGAAAACAGACAGAATCCAGATATGAGGCACCTGTAGGGAAACTGTAGATACCAGACAAGAATAGCATCCTAAACAGATTCCCAGCATCCGCTCATTGTTTGGGGATGCTTTTGAGAAGAGGCAAGCATCTTCACTTTCAGGATGTCCTTTTATCCTTTTTTTAGAGACGGGGTCACGCTGTCACCCAGGCTAGAGTGCAGTGATGTCATCATAGCTCACTGTAACCTCCAGTTCCTATGCTCAAACAGTTCTCCCATCTCAGCCTCCCGAGTAGCTAGGACTATAGGCACACGCCACTCACTCGGCTGCTTTTTTTTTTTTTTTTTTTGGTAGAGATGGGGTATTGCTATGTTGGCCATGCTGCTCTCAAACTCCTGGCCTCAGTCAATCCTCCCACCTCAGCCTCCCAAAGTGCTGTGATTATAGGCGTGAGCCACTGCACCTGGCCTGGATAATGCTTTTAAATTAGCACTTCATAACAAAGAGCATTACAATGTTCTCTTTCCTTATAGTCTGCTTCTGTCACTGTCTGATAGATCACTTATATTCTAGATTCTATTTTCTAATTTGAAATATAAAGAAATTCTTAATGATTTTGGCCAAAACGTCTCTTTGAAAGCGTGATGGCCCCTTTCCCCAGATAAATCTACTCATGCACATATAAAATTTTACATACAATTTCAAGTGTAAGCTCATCGATAGATCTCCCTCAGAGACCAAGGACTCCAATTAAAACTCCTTGGAAAAGTTTATCTCCAGGGTCTCTTCCCATCAGATGTTAGCTCCATGAAGGCAAAACCTGCCTTTTTCATTGCTGCATTGCAACATCTAGGTACTAAATATAGGTACTAAATATATTCATGAAATGAATTAATGATTGATGATCTTACTTGCTTTCATTTCAGGTCATAATAATAGTGCCTTTCTATGACTGTTATGAGCCCATGGTGAGAATGGCTGGAGCAACACCTGTTTTTATTCCCCTTAGATCATCTGTAAGTTTGCCAATATGATTTATATGCTTTAAGAAGTTTGGAAAATAAAAATTATTAGGTTATTAAGTATGAAGTGTCTGATTTCCTTAAGTACTAGGTTTGACAGTTGATACCTCTGACATTTCACTTTGACACTTCTTGTTTTATTTTTATTGTGAAGTTACATCCTCATTCTTTCAAACACATGGGTTGGCTTGTGATTATCTTTCAAAGTGTTTTTTTTTTTTTAGAGGAATGTTGTGAAACCATGGATAAGTCAAAAAATTGTGTTATTTTTGAGTATGAGTTCTTATGTGGAACCAATGCTGCACAGGCAGCTCGAAATATCAACCAAGTGTTTGGGAAGGACGTGGCTAATGAACACACAGTAGGTTGATGGTTTGAGAAGTTCTGTTCTGGTGATTTTAATCTTGAAAGTGAGCCATGTGGGTGACCTGAGATCAAGGAGGATAATGATGAGCTGAAAGCTGTAGTGGAAGCGAATCCATCTTAACCTATGTGTGAATTAGCAGCAAGGTTTGACATTCGTATTCCAACAATATTGGACCATTTGAAACAAATCAGCAAGGTACAGAAGCTGGATAGATGGGTAACACCTGAATTAAATGAGCATCAGAAGAGAAATCGTCCAGAAGTTTGCTGTCACAACATAAAGGTGAAACATTTCTACATCGATATTATGTGTGATGAAAAATGGATTCTTTTTGACAATTGCAAGCATTCTGCACAATGGTTGGATAAAGATAAAGTGCTGAAACACCATCCAAAACTGAATATTCATCAAAAAAAGCTAATGGTGTCTGTTTTGTGGTCCAGCATTGGTAGTATCCACTAAAGCTTCATGAAATGTGGTCAATTACAGTGGACATTTGGACAAAGTAATGAGTTTGCTTATGATTAAGCAGCCAAGATTGGTTGATAGAGACAGGCCAATCCTCTTATAAGACAACATTCGACCACATGTTGCAAAAACAACACTGCTCAAACAACAGAAGCTGGACTTGGAAACTCTCTGTCATCCACCATATTAACCAGACCTTTCACCAACTGACTGCCAAGTGCTTTGGACCACTTCTTGCAAGGAAAAATATTCAATTCTCAACAAGCTGTGGAAAAGGCCTTTTGCAATTTCATCGCCACTTGCTCTCTAGGCTTCTTCGCTGCTGGTATAAACAAGCTACCATTAAGATGGCAAAACTGTGTCGATAGTTTAGGTGCATACTTTGATTAATTGTACTGCTTTTTTTGAGATATTATAGACCGAACTTTTCATTTGAAATCAGACATTTCATATTTAATGACCTAATACTTTGTCACTGATAAAGTTTCTACTTTGATTGCATTTGGAGATTTATGAAATATCTCCATTTGTCTAGTTGTCGTTTTAAAATCTTTTCAAAATAAATAACTAAAACACTACTATGAATCACAGAATCTTCTGTTAGCTTTATAATATCAGACATGCGAACTATAGCTATAGCTGGCTCCTATGAAGGAATATAAGCACTTTAACAGCTGTTAGTGATGACAGGGTTCATTTTTCTGTTTAACAGGTGTGAGCATAAGACTTAGGTCCTTTTGGGCTCTAAAGGCAAAACTAAAGCCTACTTTTATTTGTTTATATTCTTTGTTAGTTATTTATTCAGTTACCTTTGCCATGCCTTTCTCTGATTTTTTTCCTTATTAGGTTATTTATTTGTAAGACAACAAACATGAATTAATTGAATTAAATCACATCTTCATTCTTCATGCTTAGAAACCTGTTTATGGAAAAAGATGGTCTAGTTCTGACTGGACATTAGATCCTCATGAGCTGGCAAGTAAATTTAATTCCAGAACCAAAGCTATTATACTGAATACTCCACATAACCCCCTTGGCAAGGTAAGTAAGTCTTTTCTTCATACAGTTTTCTGACCTATGGTTCTCTCATATGTTGGATAATAATTGGCTGTGCTTTTTCCTTTAATACGTGTAGGTGTATACCAAAGAGGAACTCCAAGTCATTGCTGACCTTTGCATCAAATATGACACACTCTGCATCAGTGATGAGGTTTATGAATGGCTTGTATATTCTGGAAATAAGCATTTTAAAATAGGTACTGATTATTACGTACAGTCACGAATCTAAATGTGTTTGGGCACATGTGGAACAACTGATTGGAAACGATCCCAGACCAGCTTTAAAATAGTCTTTGTAATGGGTATCTGTCTGTATGAGCACTGAAAAATAGTATTTGAATGAATGATGCTTGAGTGAATTGATGAACAGCTTGAAGAACAGATAGTACAAATTTAGAGGAATAGATTTTGGATCACAATATAAAGCTAGGAAACCAGAGAAGTAGTTCTTTTGCCTATATCCCTGGCTTCTTTGTAGGAATCCAGCTATTACTTGGTATTTAAGACACAGGGAGCTGACTTCTTCCCGAAGAGGTTTTGGACTGTCTTTGCTGAGCAAGTTGCCAAAATGCCAGGTCAACAGGGAGAAATTAAAGGGGCAGTAGCTATTGCTACTCAGCCCTTGCCTGACATTTTGCCATCTCACAAATGCCACAGTGTCTTCTGGGGTAGTCCAAACTTATATCAAATATAGGATTATAAGCTGGGTTACAACCTTTGAGTCCTTGCACCTGCCCTTCTTTTGCCTGGACATACTTTTCTGCCAAATATCCACATGGCTATGTCCTTTGCCTCCCTCAGGTCTTTGTTCCGATGTCAATTTTCATGACTACCACATTTGAAGTAGTTACACCTCTCCCTCCAGCATTTTTGTCCTTCTGTTCTGTGTTGTTTTTTTGTTTGTAGTAAAAATCAGAATCTATCTATTTTACTTCTAAACTGCAAAAAGGTGGGGATTATTGTTTGTTTTGCTCTCTTCTGAGTCCCCATTTTTCAGGATAAGGTCTTGCACATGGTAGACAGTCAGAAAGTAATTGTTGAATAAATGAATAGGAAGGATGAAAAGATAAGGGAAGGATGACTAAAAGATATTGTGGCAGAATAGATAAATTAAAAAATGAGTACACTTACATATAAATAATTGTTGCATTATGGTATGTGTCATAATTGTTCCTGTAGTACATTACAAATTGCTATAGAGCTGGGAGGAGAAAGGAACTACTTGAGAATCAGAAAAGGAGTGGGCAAAAGGTGGAATTAGCCAGGCAGAGATATAGAAACTAAATTCAGATAACCCAGCATGTACTTAGGCAAGGAGGTGTGAAAGATCAAGACATACTTAAGAAAGGTATGTGGTTTGATTTATACGGTATGTTATAGTAACTGGCACAGATCAGGGTAGAAAAGTAGGATGATTCTAAAGGACTTTGTATATGAGAATAAAGAGTATTACCTTTGAAGAAGTTGAAGAGGTTAGTGGTTCCAAAACGTATTTTAGTGGTAGATCACCTTGAAGCCACAGCATTCTGCATCATGAAATAGCAATATTACGAATTCCATCCTAAAATTAGAAGCAATTTTCCTAATAGAAATTCGACAATTAGAAGTCAATATAAAAACCACAATTCTATCTGTGCAGAATGTATTCAGGGAAAAAAAGAAAAAAAACCCCACAATTCTATTCATACTTGTCTGTAACAAAGAGCTATTAAAATAAACACATTTGAGTCTTACTGATTTTTGCCATGCCATTAATATGCATTTACTAAATGCTCATATGTTCACTGTCGGAGCATTCACTATCAGATAAGTGGCAGCAATTACTGAAGGCTTAAGAAAATTACATGGAAGAAAACTTAAAATTGACTTTTTAAATTCTGTGCATTAATTTGATCACCAGAGTGCCGTGAGCATAGTTTAAGAACCACTGCCAAAGGTGGGACAAAACAGGGGAATTAGTTCTGTGATAAGATTTTTTTTATGTATAAAAGTAAGAGCTACCTGCAGATGAGGGTCTTAAGCAAATGAGATGCCCTGGCAGTGGAGATGGTACATGGAGGCTGCTTAGAAGTAGTAACTATGGGTGTAGAGTGTTGCATTCGAAGGTGAGAAGAGAACAAGCAAGTATGATTCTGAGATTTCTAACCTGAGCTACTCAGCAGTGATGAGGAGCTTAACCAGAGTAAATAGGGCAAGAGGAGGAGCAAGTGTCTGGGAAGAACTAAGGAAAGGAAATTCCTGCTTCTCATGTCAGTTTGAGTGTCTATGAGACGTAGAGGAATAGATATCTGGAGATAAGTGGAATTATAGGCCTGATGGTCAGAATCAAAATGTGAGGGGATATATTTTTGGTAGCCGTTAAAATTTGGTAGTAGCTGGACCCACGGAATGAATTTTCCCAGGGAGGATATATAAACAGGGGCAGCCAGGAATTTTCAGGGCATAGCACCTTAACACAGCAAATGTTATCATGTGTCTCAGTTGCATGAGAGTCCACCATTGCCCATCTTGTTCTTGACCTTTGGCTCAGGTCATTTGAACTATTTCTCAGGTTAAAATCAGACTAACATGGGCAAATAATTTTTTTTTTTGTAATGAACTCAACTTAGCAATGTTTGTTCCAAAAGATCACTTTAAGTGATCCCAATATTTATTGTTTAGATTTACTATTAATAATTTTAAACCGGTAAAGTGTAACTAATGACATTATTTGCTAAGGATATGCAAGACATATATTTTTAACTCAGATTTTTTTAGTTGTTGTAATAGCCCATAAAATTAAAGTAAAAAAAAAAAAGAATTCACTATTTCATTATTAAAAAGTATAGCTTGTTTTCATAAAAACTTAGGTATTCTATCAAATACAGTGGTCTTTGTTACATGAACAATGCAAAATGGCTATTATATCGATTTGCGAAGTGCGACAGTTCTTTCATATAATACGATAAGGCTACATCATGAAATTAGCATCATCTTCTTATCTTCAAGTTGTCACAGAGGCAGTTTGCCCTGTGTCTCTAATCTTTATGGCTTCTATTGAAGCCTAAGTTGCCTATGAATAATGGTTATAGCTGCTTTGGCTGAATTAAGGATTATGAGTCATAAATGAACAGTGTAAAGACCAGTTGCCATTTAGATGAAACTGTAATCTAAACTTACAATATAATGGATATTGTTTTCTAAAATCAACAGACTTGGAAAGATATTTTTTTTTTGCCTGTAAGTTACCACATTCACACACAAAGCTGTGGCCATCTCTTCTGCCTATCCACATTAACTTCTGTGGCTCTCCAAATCTCCAAGATTGAGAAGATATTTTAATATTACTTTTGGCTCTTCTTATGAAATAGTAGAATTTTCTCTTATTCAAACGGATTTTTGATTCAAATGATGTTTCCTAAATTGGGTGTGGCAGCACACGCCTATAGTCCCAGCTACTCCAGAGGCTGAGGCAAGAGGATCACTTGAGCACAACAATGTGAGGCCAGCCTGGGCAACATAGTGAGACTTTGTCTTCTAAAAAAAAGAAAATAAAAACAAAATAAAAAAATTTTTAAAAAGAAACAAATGGTACATCCTGGTCAGTAAATTGATATTTTAGTCAACAAAAAAACTTCTCTTCTCCATTTATATATAAATACACTTATTTTTGTAAAATTAGTATAAAATTCCTTGTAAGTTACTCAACTGATCAGCTTACTCCTTAAAAAAAAGACATCCAGGCTGGGCGCGGTGGCTCACGCCTGTAATCCTAGCATTCTGGGAGGCCGAGGCAGGCGGATTGTTTGAGCTCAGGAGTTCGAGACCAGCCTGAGCAAGAGCGAGACCCCGTCTCTACTAAAAATAGAGAGAAATTAACTGGACAACTAAAAATATATAGAAAAAAAAATTAGCCGGGCATGGTGGCGCATGCCTGGCGCATGTCCCAGATATTTGGGAGGCTGAGGCAGGAGGATCGCTTGAGCCCAGGAGTTTGAGGTTGCTGTGAGCTAGGATGACGCCACGGCACTCTAGCCGGGGCAACACAGTGAGACTCTGACTCAAAAAAAAAAGAAAAAAAAGACATCCACATTTATGGCTAAAATAGTCATCAGCAAATTCCTTAGCTCTTCTTTTAAATAGTGCTATAATAGATTTGATATTTTAGGAATGAAACCTATGTTTGATACTTGAGTAGTTTTGGTTTCCCTCGTATATAACTTATAGTGAAAACATGTTAGGATTATATTAGTTTCTCTGGGTAATCCTTATTTTCTAAGAATTTATTTCTAAATATTGTTCTTTCTAATAGGTCTTCCTGATTTGGAATATATGTTATTACTTTAAAGGAAGTGATACTCTGCATTATCCATAGTTTGGATGTTCTCTGGTCAAACAGAAAAGCGGGGTACATATCATGGTTTTCTTTCGGAGTGCTTTGGAAGACTGGAAATGTCTCAAAACTTGAAGGGATATAATTACTTACATCAAATATTAGAATAGTCCTTCTTCAAGTGGACCTTCTAAATATTTTCCGGGTTTATCTCTTTGGCTTTTGTTATGTTCCACAGAGAATACGTTATAACTTTTCTGATCTATATGATTTTCCTACTATTACAAGTACTGGCAGGTATTTCACCATAGACTGAAATTACTTATATTAATTAAATTTGATTATATTAATTAAACTTATATTAATTAAAATTAATAAATATTTGATGGGCGAATGGATGAATGACTTTATTAAAAATGTTAATCTGCTTGAATACCTTTATACAGTCAATTCTTGTTATTTGCGAGTTCTATATTTGTGAATTCACCTACTCCCTTAGATATATTTATAATTCCAAAATCAATACTCATGGCACTTCATTCAAAGAGGGGCAAAAACTTAGAGTTACCCTGCACACACATTCCCAGCTGATATCAAATAAGGCAACACTGTGCTCCTTGTTTCAGCTTACACTATAATCAAGAATTCTTTTCACGGTGATTCTGCTGTTTAGAATGGCCCCGAGCATAGTGCTGAGTGCTGTCTAGTGTTCCTAAGCACAAGAAGGCTGGGACGTGCCTTATGGAGAAAATATGTGTGTTTGATAAGCTTCATTCAGGCACAGGTTCTGGGGCTGTTGATCATGAGGATATTAAAGGGTGACAGCTAAAAGGTACAGGGCTACTTTGGGGTGAAAAAAATATTCTAAAATTGACTGTGGTGATAGTTGCACAAATCTGTGGATATACTAAAAACCTCCAAAATGTACACTTTACATTGGTGAATTATATGATACGGGATTTACATCTTCATAAAGTTGTTAGCAAAATAAACACACACACACACACACACACACACACACAAATATTCTTGGCCCTGCCCCAAGAGTTTCTGAATCAGTAGGTCTAGGATGAGGCCTAATGATTTTCCCTTCTTAACAAATTTCCCAGTGATGCTGATATTGCTGGTATGGGAGCACATTTTAAGAACCATTGCTCTAGGAAGCATGGAGAAATAGCCTCAGAAAATGGGCAGAATAAAGGGGACTGAACAACAGCCATAACTACAACCAAAGCTATGCCACAGTATTATTGTGTTGAACATACGGTCACTGCAAACACTGAATGCAGGATGCCACAGCTCCTGTGACAGCTGCCGTGTGAACCAGCCTGAAACACTGCCTACTCGCACCACTGTTAGTCCTGCCCAGGAAATAATTTTGCTCCTTGAAATTATTAAATCTATTTATATATTATTCTGATGCAACGTTATAGTGTAGCAATGTTTTAGCTGTGTTTTGAGTTAAAGACACATTATCTTAAAAACCCTATTGAAATAACTATACTGACTACACTTAACTTTCATTGAATGTGTATATCTTTGTTACGTTTTTATTATACTGAATGTAGGTTGATGTGAAAGTAATTATTTAACTTTTTTTTTTTCCTATTCAGCCACTTTTCCAGGTATGTGGGAGAGAACAATAACAATAGGAAGTGCTGGAAAGACTTTCAGTGTAACTGGCTGGAAGGTGAGATGACTAAAAATCTAATTGCTTAAAAGTAGGCATCTCTTTTTTTTGTAGACTCTTTGTGTTTTAAATGCATACATACTCAGTTTACACAGGCTTTTGTACTTAATGATCTTTTGCTTATCTATTGATTTATTCGGCTTTCATGTTAGGCTTTATCCTTTTAATTATTTCTTTAAAAGTAAGAAAAATTGGATAATTTTTCGTTATATAGGATCAACTAGTGACACATTTTTCTTTGCAAAGAATGGTCAGATACTGTATACTAATATAAAAAGAGGAAAAATTGGCCAGGCGTGGTAGCTCATCCCTGTAGTCCTAGTTACTGGGGAGGCAGAGGCAGGAGGATTGCTTGAGCCCAGGAGTTTGAGGTTGTGGTGAGCTATGATGCTGCCACTGTACTCTAGCCAGGCAATAGAGTGAGACTCTGTCTAGATATACACATATACACTCACACACACACACACACACACACACACACACACACACACATATAAAAGGAGGAAAAGTAATAATAGCTAATATTTTGGCACTTACTATGTACTATGCTCTAAATGTTTTACCTGTACTAGTTTCATTCTTATAACCACATTATAAGGAGGGTACAAGTATTATACTTGTTTCATAGATGATAAAGCTAAAGCACAGAGAAGTTAAGTAACTTGCCTGAGATTCCACTGCTAATGAATCCAAGCCAGGACAGGTAGACTGGCATCAGAATCCATGCACTTAACCACTGTATTATTTATTACAATGACAATGTATCCAGTTGAAACTCAATTCTTTTCCAGCCTCACCTCTCCTAAACATAGCTAAGAAGCAGAGAGCATCAAAAATGAGGGTTGTGGAATCAAAAGTCTTTGATTATGGAAGGGTCCCTTACACTCTCATTCAGAGTTACTTTTATCTGTAATTCAAACAAGCTTTGTTACCAGTTTTTAGTCCTCCAGAATATTAGAAGTAGCAAATTAGAAGAGGGGAAAAGGCTAATAATGCTTGCAGATTCTGTTTGCCTCCTGAAGGCGGAGCTTCATGACTCCAGCTGGAAACTTTTCCACCAAAGAACAGCACTGAAATGATTCTAAGTAATAATACTGCACTACTTTCATAGTGTGAATACTTTAGAATTGTATATATTTAACAATTGCATTAAGTTTAACTACTCTCTTAAATTTGGTATATACAATTAGATTATTTTTTGAAATCTTCTTTTATTTTTTCCTTTCCCAGATTGGCTGGTCCATTGGTCCTAATCATTTGATAAAACATTTACAGACAGTTCAACAAAATACCATTTATACTTGTGCTACTCCTTTACAGGTACGTGTAACTCAGGGTTCAAGCATGGTCTTTTGGTGAAGGTGTTACTTTTATAATATATTGCATATTTGAATTGACTTAGTTCTTGTCTTTATGTCCTGCTTTAGCAGGGCTTTCTAATTTAGGATTTCAGGAGTAGACACATATTCTCTGCTATCAAGAATAGTTGGTGTTCTTAATACATCAAGTTTTAGCTTTGAACAGTCATACATTGCTGGTGGGGAGTACAAAGTGCTACAAACTCTGGGAGGACAATGGCAGCACCACACAAAATTACAGATGTGCTTCGCCTAGGAAACAACAGTCCATCTTTTGAGAATTTACCCTAAAGCTATTATATGCACATGTAAGAAGTTATGTATGTACATGGCTATTCATTGCAGATGATTGGAGATAGTCTGTTATCCATCTTCAGACAGTTGGTTAACTAAACCATGATCTGTCCAAACATTGAAATATTATATGACTGAATTAGTTTTCTATTGCTGCTGTAACAACTTACCACAAACTTAGTGACTTAAAAACAACACAAATTTATTATCTTAATCTTTTGCAGCTGAGAAGTCTGAAATGGTTCTTAAAAGGTTAAGATCAAGGTGTCAGCATTGCTGTGTTTCTTCCAGAGGCTCCAGGGGAGAATCCATTCCTTGCCTCTTCTAGCTTCTAGAGGTTGCCTGCATTCCTTGACTCGTGGTCACATCACTCCAACCTCTGTCAACACATCTCCTCCTGTGACTCTGACTCTCCTACCTCCCTCTTTCCCTTAGAAGGACCCTTGGGATAACATTAGGCTCACTGGATAATCTCCCCATCCCAAGATGCTTAATTAAATCACATCCGTGAATTTCCTTTTACCATGCAAGGTAACATCTTTACAGGTTCTGTGTTACAGGTTCTTAAAGACATGGACATCTTTGGGGACCATTATTCTATCTGTGTAAAAGAAAATAAAAAAGAAAGAAAATGAGGAAATTCTTCAATTACTGATATGGAAAGATTTCCAGAATATATTATAAAGTAAAAAAGCAAGATACAGAGCAGTATATATTTATGCTACATGTTATATAAGAAAACTGCTTGTGTTTTCTTAAAGGATCTCTGGAAGGATCTAAAAGAAACTAGTAAAAGTGGCTATTTATAAGGTAAAAGGAGTAGGTGAAATTAACAGAGACAAGGAGAGGTTCAAAACTTTTTATATGTATCTTTTTAATATAATGTATCTTTTGATATGTATCTTTTTGTATCATTTTAAAACAGTATCAAAATATGTAATACTTTATATTTTTCTATATTTATAGAAATAGGGATCTATTTTCCATTTTCTATGAATAATCAAAACACTGAAAAAATATTATTTTTCTAGAAGGCAGTTAAAAGGGAAAAAGGATAAAATGTATTGGCTATACTGAACTTAATTTTTTTGCTTCCTGTCAATAATACCTACTGAATGAGAAAAAAATTCTTATTTTAAAGTACTTTGTTTAGTGACTCTCTAAAGTAATCCATGATAAATGCTAGTTCTGACATTTGGTTTTATTATATATTGAACTCATTTCATCCTCCCAAAATAAATCCATTCACTTATTCTACAAATATTTACTGAGTATTGGAGATACAGCAGACAAAAATTGCTGCTCTCATGAAGCTTACAACCTAATGGGGGAACACAGATATTAATAATAAACAAGTAAATATTTTTAAAATATGTCAGATATTGATAGATATGAAGAAGAAAAAAAAGTAGTGAAGTGGAAGGATATAAAGTGCCAGGAGAGTTGGGGGGGGACAATATACAATGTTAAATAGGGTGATCTGTGAACGCCTCACTAAGAAGGTAACATTTAAACAATGAACTAAAGGAGGTTAAGCAGTCACATGGTTACCTAGAGAAGAAACTGACAGAACACCACATCCAAGTCGCAGTGGTGGCAGCCTGGCTGGCATGTTTATAGCAGGGGACAGCACAGAGGCTGGAATGGGATGAGCAAGGGAGAGGAGTAGGAGCTAAGATCAGAGAGGTAGCTGGAGTCAGACTGAGTGGGAGGGTGTATGTCACTGTGAGGACTGAGTGCAATAGAAGTGAGTGGAGAGTTTTGAGCACAGGAGGGACAGGGTCTGACTTGTGTGATCAAAGGAACTCTGGCTGCTTTGTTGAGTGAGAAGGCTGTTGCAGTGGTCCGGGAGAGAGATGCCAGCAGACTGAACCAATATGGGGACGGTAGAAGTGGTGAAAAGTGGTTGGACTCTGAGTATATTTTGAAAGTAGAGCCAACAGTATTTGTCAATGGATTATATATTGGGTATGAGAAAAAGAGGTGTCCAGGGTAATGCTACAGTTAAGGTGGACGTTTATGTCTCCTGCACTTGGAATTTTCTAGGGCAACATCTCCTTCTATAGTAAGTGAACAAGTTGCTGAGGAAAAGAAAGATACAGCCAAGAATCTGGAACATCTTTTCTCTGAATCATCTTCTTCCTCATTTCAGCCACATGCCCGGTTCTGTCCTCAGACGACCATGCTTGGTTCCAGGGGAACCACAGATTTCTAGGCTAAAGCAGCTGATCCTTATTTATCCAAGATTTTTTTGGTACTGGGGAATTAGTATTAATTCTGTTTTACTGCTGAATTCTTTTGGCAGGAAGGTGTCTCTACAATATTGCCCCTCTCTTGCCGTCTCATCTCTTGCCACATTGTCTCTCTTGATACCCCTCAGCCACACTCGACCTCTCTCAGTTCTTCCAACAGAACAAATTATATCCTGCCTTTTTCATTTATTTGTTTTCTGTCTCATCCCTTTCCCTCCTTCCAATATACACTAATTGGAAACTTCATGAAGACAAGGACCATGTCTGTCTTGTTAATTGTTATATCCCCAGCACTTACCAGGATGTCAGGCTCAACATAGGTACTTAATATATATTTACTAACTCGATTAATGTACTCTTTGGTTGTTTATATCTTTCGTTTCTGATCAATTTCCTTAAAATTTGACTACTTTGCGCTGTCCCTCTATCTCTTACCTATTCCAAGTTCTTAATTATTTGCCTGGAATTTCTGGTTTGCTCCAAGTGGCGTTATTTCTAAGTTGCCCCTATTCACATTTGCCTATCACGCTTTTGTCCTTCTGCTTGTACAGGTCCTTGTTCTTTATACGTGCACTGATTCTGACTTGTTTACCTGTTCCTGACCTGTTACATTCTCAGACACCTGCCTGATCCTTAGTGTCTTAGTTGGTCTGGCTGCTATAACAAAGTACCATAGACTGAGCAGCTTATAAACAACAGAAATCTATTCCTCACAGTTCTGGAGGCTGGAAAAATCCAAGATCAAGGCACCAGCAGATATTCAGTGTCTAGTGAGGGCTCGTTTCTTCATGAATGGTACCTTTTTGCTGTGTCCTCACATAACAAGTTAGCTCTCTTTTGTAAGGACACCATTCCTAGGGAATCGCCTGCCCTAATTACCTCCCAAATGCCCTACCCCGTAATACCATCACCTTGGGGGTTAGGATTTTCACAAATGAATTTTGGGGGCATATAAACATTCAGTCCACTGCACTTAACAACACTGGCTTTTTCCTTGGCCCAATTTCTCTCCTGGCTTTTCTGACTTGCCTGAAGACTAGTAGAGGAGTCACTCTATGTGCTCCAGAAACTCATTTCTAATCTCTGTTACACTTAGACCACCTTCCTGGCATACGAATGATTATGTCAAGGATTTGCACATCTATGGGGAAGGAAAGAGGTACACTTCCTCCTCTACACAGTGGCTCAGCTTTCATTTCCACTGTGTCCTCCAGGGTAATGGGCAAAAACTGACTACTCCATCACTTCTCTGGTCATTCTTATGACTTAGATTTAGCAACTCATTCTATAGCTCACCTCAGTAGAAAATATCTTAATGTCTTTTTGTTCCCAAGTATGCCATCTTTATATAATAATACCTCTTTTTTGATCTGGATTTCGTGACTCATTCTCAGTTCTTCACATTAGATTTAATCATTTAGCTGTAACTGGTTCCTCCATTAATCTATAGAGTTTATAGGTTTACAGTAATTGAACTGTAATTTTCTGAGTGAACTTTTTGCCAATAATGTTACTCAAATAATCTTTATTTATTATGCCAATAAACTAAGCAATAAGTAACATTGGCCGTATTTCCTTTCTACATTTTTCAATCTTAACATACAGGAAGCCTTGGCTCAAGCTTTCTGGATTGACATCAAGCGCATGGATGATCCAGAGTGTTACTTTAATTCTTTGCCAAAAGAGTTAGAAGTAAAAAGAGATCGGATGGTATGTCTACTTGAAAGTGTTGGCCTAAAACCCATAGTTCCTGATGGAGGATATTTCATCATTGCTGATGTGTCTTTGCTAGGTTTGTAAAGGTTTTTATTGTTTCAAATATATGGAAACTTATGTGTGAAATTATAATAGAATTATGGAGAAAAGATTGGTGTCAAAGCCACAGCAGCATTTTATCTACAGAAAAGGATGAATTTTCACAACGCCAATATTTTTCTACAATTATCTTTACTTTTAGGTCTTTCACCTCTTGTTAAATGGTTATGGAGTTGGTGTTGCTCTAGGCATTCTATTAAACATAGAATTTGCTGTCATTCTGTTCTAGGGTGTAATTTAAAACACAGGTACATGAAATGATATACGTACTCTGTGTTCATTTGAGTAAAATTTTAGTTTTCTTTTCACTTAACAAAAAAACATACTATTTTGTTAGAAAAATAAGATTTCTAGAAATTTTGAAACCATGAGGGAATATTTACCATGTTAGAATATACTGAAATGAAGTAAACAAGGAGAATAACTTTATTAAGGATCTACTATGTACCAAGCACTCAAACGCCCTTCAGAAGAAAACATTAGCTGCATTTTTGCAGATAAGATTTAGAAAGTTTTAAATAACTTGCCTGAAGTCACACAACTAGATTCGAAATAGTTCTGTCTCTAAAAAGCAAAGGTCTTTATATTACCTACAGCTGTTATATGTAATTCTGACATGCCATACAAATCTAAGGTTAGAAGCATGATAGTGTTTTATATATAACTTACTTTTCTTAAAAAAAAAAAGCCATTAATAGTAGTGAACTTTAAAGCCTAATTTATTCTGACAAATTACAGCCATTCTAAATATAGCTTTAAATGTTTTAAAATCTTATTACAATAAAGTTATATGCCAATGAACTTGAAAAACTGAAGTTTTATTTATAAAACTGGAAAGAATAAAAGAAATTTTTTTTTCTTTCTTTTTTTTTTTTATTTCAGCAAATTATGGGTGTACAGATGTTTAGGTTACGTGTGTTGCCCTTGGTTCCCCCCCTACCGAAGTCTGTGTTTCAAATATGTCCATCCTTCGGGTAGTGAGCATTGCACTCCTTGTGTATACAAATACCCCTCCCCTCCTCCCTCCTCCCCCCTCCTCCCGCTGCCCTCCCGCTTCCCCAACATCCAATAGATGTTGTTCTGATATGTGCATTTATGTGTTGATTAGTTAATACCAATTTGATGGTGAGTACAAATGGATCCCGTTCTTCTGCTCTTGTGGTGCCCCACTTTGGATAATGGGCTTAAGTTTAATCCAGGAAAGTGTAAGAGGTGCTAGCTCACTGTCATTTCTTATGATTGAGTAATATTCCATTGTAAACATATAGCAAATTTTGATAATCCACTCATGGATTGACGGGCACTTGGGTTGTTTCCACATTCTTGCAATAGTGAATTGTGCTGCCATAAACATTGGGGTGCAGATGTCCTTATCGTAGAATGTTTTGTGCTCTTTTGGGTAGATGCCTAATAGTGCTATTGCTGGATCGAATGGTATTTCTATTTTTAGCTCTCTGAGGTATGCCAATAAAATATTATAAGAAGGAGACACTGCTAACATCAAATACTTTTTTAATTTTATAACAAAACAGAGATTATTTTTAATAGTATATCGTTCACATAGGAATTTTCTAATACAAGTATTTGATGTTAGCAGTGTCTCTTTCTTATAATATTTTTTTGGCATCTTCACAGATTTCAGGGAAGTAAGGTGTTATGATTTTCCTGTAAGTAGATTTTGAGGTCTCTTTCTCTGGAAAGTGACTATAAACTCTAGTCCTGTCCTGGTAGGGCTCCAAGGGAGGTGTTCGTGGATGTTCACAGTGTGTCTTTCATGGGATACTTCTTTATCCTGGTGAACAGCCTAATGCCTAAGTCTGACCCATGACCAGATGTCCCTCTCACAGGAAACTTGTTTATACTGGCAGACACCCTTGTGGCTCTTGTCTGACTGTGTCCACGTTATTCCCACCAAAATATTTATCCACTCTCTAGGAGAGCCCTGACCAGGAGGAGAATTAGGTTCATATGTGTTGGTCAGGTGAGATACAGAAGAGGCAGAACACCTCCCAGGGCCAACAGGAAGTAGGGAACCATATGAATTCACGACAGAAGGCGCAAACTGAAGCAAAGTTTTCTTTCCTGTCTCATTAGCTTATTTCTTCATTTGTTGTGAGAGAAGAAGAAGCTATGCCTAGCAGAGGCTCTTGGAGTCCTATTGCCGGAGAGCTGCACTGGCAGGCTCCCAAGTTCCATTCCTATATAAAAACCCCTTAAGATGTTCCATACTCTGAGGTTCGGAAAGCACTTTTCCCATATTGGGTTTCAATGTGAAGCTCATTTCATGAAATGATAAAAAGAAATAGCACAGTTGTCATCATTTATACTTTTGCCTTTGAATCAGAAATCCACAAGATTTTCCACATGAATTATTTTGTTTATTTATAAGAAAATGATTTATACTTCATATGCTTCCAAAAGGAATTTTAGCCTATTCATATTAAAAATCTTCTATGCAATAATATATAAATAGCAATGATGATATATAAATCAAAAATCAGTGACACATAGGATGAGGAGAAAGCAAATATTTCATTCACCGAGGGTCGTATATTATAATTAGCATTATCTTGAGACCAAACTTCTTGGGACCAAAGTCAAATAGAAAAATGGAATTAGTTACATAATTCTTGGATAAAAGGAAACTTAACACCTTTTTAAAGAAGAGTGCTTTCCTGGAACCAAACTTTTCCAGATAGTAAACTCTAAAGGGATTTATCACATTGTGACATTAAATATCAAAAAGATAGTGATGCAACTTGGAGTATTATGCTAAACTCTTAATTAGTTTCCCACTCTTTCCTCAGTCAATCCATCCTACATGCAATGCTATTAATAGTTTAGGACTTAGATCTTGAACTAGTGTGGTTATAGTAGGAGCAGAAAGGATTTCAGTTAGAAAACCTTTTCTTCCTTCTTTCCTTCTTCCCTTCCCTTCCCTTTCCTTCCCTTCCCTTCCCTTCACTTCCCTCTTCCCTTCCCTCTTCCCTTCCCTTCCCTTTCTCACAATGTTGCCCAGCTGGTCTCAAACTCTTGGCCTCAAGCAATCCCCCTCAGCCTCCCAAAGTGCTGGGATTATAGGCGTGAGCCACCACACCCAGCCAGAAAACTTTTCCTGACGATGGAAAAAAAGAAAAAGAGGTGTCCTTTATGGTCTTCCTTTACTCATGTGGAAAAATGTTAATGTCTATAAAACTTTCCTACATATGAAGAAAATTTTTGTTTTATTTTACTCTTTCGTCTGCTTAGATTAATTTGCAATGTGGAAATTCTTCCATGTAATAGAGGTTGGTCCTATCATTTGCTAAAGATAAAACAAAAACTTTCATTTAATGGTGGCTTAAGAATAAAAGTAGACCATAATATTCATGAACATACTAATTACTTCTCTTTACAATTAATAACAATGGCTAACTAGTTAATATTTTTTGAGCACTTATGATGTAGTATGTATTAAGAGCTTTCCAAATATCACACTCTCACAAAAGGCATATGAGATTGGTGCTATAATATTGCTATAATATTATATAACTATTAATAAAGATGAGATAGAGACTTAAGTAATGTACTGAAGTTAATCCACTACCAAGTAGCAGAGCTGACCTCTGAACCCAGAGCTCCATTTCCTAACCAGTGAATTTATCTGTTTTCTGCTCTACTAAGCTCCTTTCCAGACCAGTGAGCTTCATCCTAGAACTCAAAAGGGAAACATTTCATTAGAAGACAAGATGACAAATAAGAAGATTATTACAGTTTTTCTAGTGAGATAATAGGATCCAAAATTATGGAAGAGATGGTGGAAATGCAAAAACCAATTTGGATTTTCACAGATTACTTAAATATGCTAATGCATGTGGTTTAAACTCTTTTCTTCAATAAAGAACAACTTTGTTTATTCCTTCGAAGATCTCTAGCTCAGGCATTTCAAAAGAAATAGATTTCAGCTACCTTCTGACTATAAAACCTTTATAATTGTATGTATTCCCTTCTTTGCTTTTTCAGCACCATAGCAATAAATTTCTTTTTTCTAAGCTTTACAAGAAAAAAGGAGTAGTACAGTGTCAATTACAGTTAGCTAATAACCTGCTGCTCTTCCTTCTACTCCCATAGGTAATCGCTCCTTTCTTTGGGCTGCTTTTGTACCTTGAATACACTACTATTGTGTACTCGTCACATAGAACTTTTTACATAATTTACAATTAGTCTCTAACTTTTTTTAATTTTATATTTTTACATATAATTGTACATATTCATGGGGGTATATAGTTTCAGTATATATAATGTATAGTGATCAGATGGGGTAATTAGCATATCCATCATCTCAAACATTCATTTCTTTGTGTTGACAAAACTCAATATCCCCCTTCTAGCTATTTGAAATTATTAATATATAATATATTATTGTTAACTGCAGTCATACCACAGTGGTATAGAACCCTAGAACTTGTTCCTCCTAGAGTCTCACTTTTTTAAGCTGTCAGTTTTTGTTAGTCCCAAACCTGAATTAAGCACACATACACACATATATCTTGAAATAGTAATTTGAGTTTCTTGCCTATAAAGAGAGGATTGTAACTACCACTCAGAATTGTGGTGACAACTAAATGAGAGGATCATGTAACATGCTTAATAGTAAGCATATGGTAGTATTTTATTAGCATTATTATGTGGAAATTTTACATTCTCCTTAAAGTAGGGAGAATGAAGACAAAATCATTAGGTATAGTAAAAACATTCTTAGACTTGGTTTTAAAAGTACAGGTGACATTTTGTTCAATGTCAAGGCTTTTACATGGTTAAGTTGAAAAAAAACCACTAGTATTTTGTAAATAAAAGAAAAAAGGAAGATAGCTGCCTCAATGTGTTTTCAGCAATACATTGTAAAATTTTATTGATTACAGTAACCATCAACATTAGTTGTTTTGGGGCATTCAAAACAATCTAAGAGTACAAGTCAATAAAGTTGAAACAATATGAAATATGGATTACTGAAACTGAATGCCAGACAAATATCTTGCCCAGACTCTAAAGCAAGATATAGGCAAGAGATTAGAATAGGAATACATGTTTGAAATTTTTTCTCCAGATTTAAAATTTAAAAAATAACCTAATATATGGAAGCAAGAGATAAAAAATAAGGATCCCATTTAGAAGATCCAAACAGACATTCTTTATAAATAATGAATAATATTAATTTATTCATTCAACAAATATGCTTTTTATTATGTGCTAGACACTGACCTAGGGGTTGAGGATACACTAGGTTGCAAAACAGACACGTTACCTTTGTGGAGCTTAACAATCTGATGAATGGCTATTCAGATATAATTATTACTGATGAATACTTTATAAATAATTTACTTGTTATTTCCTTAATAATGATCATAGAGTCTCATCTAGATGAAAAGGCAACACTCCTCTTCCCTTCTCCTTTCCTACTGTCTTCCTGTGACAAGAACTGCATGTACAAGCATGATCAACCAGATGTATATGTGGGTACCGCCTTAGCGTATCAGTAAAGCTTCTCTGTGGATTCCTCACTTCCCACCCCACCATGCAATATGAGACTCCAGCATATTCTGTGAATATCTTCTGAGAAAATTTTAAACCAGCCTAATTTAAATCAGAAGAAAATTTTGAATCTTGATAGACTTAAGTGAAATACATATTACCTCAGATATAATTCATGGGCCACCTAATTTTCATTGTTGTTCTAGATGCAGACCTCTCTGATATGAAGGACAATGAGCCTTATGACTATAAATTTGTGAAATGGATGACTAAAAATAAGGTAATGTTTACTGGCCTTTGAAATACTGTGTTATATTTTATAGTTAATTTATGAAAGAAACGTGCTGACATACTTTGGAAAACATTAAATGTAGTTTTGGGCCAGGCGCGGTGGCTCTCGCCTGTAATCCTAGCACTCTGAGAGGCCAGGCAGGTGGATCACTCAAGGTCAGGAGTTCAAGACCAGCCTGAGCAAGAGCGAGACCCCATCTCTACTAAAAAAATAGAAAGAAATGATCTG